TGTTTTCTCCTGTGAGTTTACATAGAGTTCGTGAATGGAATAGGACCAACATCCGAGTTTCTTCACAGTGATAGAAATAGGACCAACATCCGAGTTTCGTCACACCTATTGCGAAGTACGAAGGCGTCGGCGCGCGTATTAGCAACCTATTGCGAAGGGACCAAGGCGTCGGCGCGGGTTTCGAGCAAGTCGAGCTAGACGTAACACACGATCCTTCATCATTGGTGCTTTCATTGAGAGTGATTGATCATGTGTTGGGTTGAACTTTTTCTTCCCCATTCTATTTTCTTTTGTTTCGAATTTTTTCTAGAGTATCAAAAAAAAAAAAAAAGAGAGTCGAGATGATGACACACAAGGAGAGGATCGAAGCCTTGGAGGAGAGTGTGAAGTCCATCGGCAATGGCCAACACCTTGTCAATGAGAATTTTGCTAAACTCGAGCTCATGGTGCATGATCTAGCCGGGTAACTCACGCGCATGACACGTCGACCGCGAAGGAGCCACACCTCGCGATCGACCACGGCATCGAGCAGCCCCGGGACCGACCACGACGACGATGACGGACGATCACGGAGGACCCGCGCGTCACGCGCGATGCGCCACCACGACGACCGAGGCTATGCACGACCAAAGCTCACGATGCCTACGTTCACGGGGACCTACCCGGACACTTGGTTGAATCGAGCCATGCAATTTTTTGAGATCAACGAGGTGCACAAGACCGAGAGAGTCAAGATCGCCGCTTATCATCTCGATGGTGAAGCGAACACATGGTGGCAATGGATGTCACATGTGTACAAGACCAAGGGCGAGGAAATTCGGTGGAGAGATTTCGAGAAAGAGTTGGTCACGCGATTTGGCACGAGTGACTACTACGACTATGACGAGGCGCTCTCCCGAATTCGTCAAAACGGTAGCCTCCGAGACTACCAAAAAGAGTTCGAATGCATTGCAAGTCGGGTGCGAGATTGGCCCGAGAGCGCATTGGTAGGCGCATTCATTGGAGGACTTAAAGCCGAGCTAGCAGCGGAGGTGCGACTGGATAGGCCGCGAACAACACGGGCGGCAATAGAGTCGACATGGCTACGCGACGACCATTTGGTCGCGATGCGCAAGGCCAGCAAAGGTGATGGACGCACGGACCAGCGGCGCACAAGTACCGCGACCGACGAGACGCCCACGCGGGTCGAGCCCAAACCAACCGAAGATGGCACACGAACCACGAGCCACATGTGACGGCTTACGACTGAGGAAATCCAACGAAGACGCGAGAGGGGCTTATGCTTCACTTGCAATGAGAAGTTCACACCGGGCCATAGATGTGCTGGGAAGCAAGTGTTCTTGCTTGAGTTTGATGAGGATGAGCCGGAACATGAGGAGTATGAACATGTGGAGCGAAAAGAGACCCTGCTACATGTGATGAAGAGCAAGAAGAGAGAGAGAGGTCCAAGGATGATACGGTTCACTGCAATCGTACAAGGCGAAGAGCTTGAAGTGCTAGTGGACAGCGGTTCAACGCTGAACTTCATAGACAAGGAGCTGTCCAAAAGGGTTAAAGACGCCAGCGACAAACATAAAGCAGTTCGGGGTGAAGGATGCAAACGGAGATGAACTCAAAAGTTCCGAGCTGTACAAGGGTGTTCCCATATTTGCACAAGGCTATGACTTGAAGGCTGATCTTTATGCCTTACCTTTGACGGGACCAGACATAGTACTTGGAGTTCAATGGCTCGAGACATTGGGATCTGTCACGACCAACAATAAGAGGGGCACTATGACGTTTGGACGAGCCCACAAGCGAATTAAGCTGCTAACCGAGGATCCAGGAGAAGAACCCGAGGAACTTGACGAGATCAATTACTTTATCCTTGAGGACAAGGAAATTCTCGAAGAGGGCGAGAATGATGCGGATGTGGTCATTGACCCCGGCGAACCCGAGGACGAGAACCACGATGGCCTCGGGAGATGGCGAGAGGTTAGGCGAGAAAGGGCTCGGGCATGGGCTAAGAGGGTGTGCGCACGCGCTAAGGCGCGTATACCGACAGGACACGGCAACCGAGCCGCGAGGCGTGCGAGTCTAGGCCGGGTGAAGAAGAGGTGCGCGACGAGTAGTGCGCGTGAACACGAGGCTTGGGCCGACGACGAGAGTGAGAAGATTGTGCCCGGGAAGGTGGGTGATTGGTGCAAGGCGTGCGCAAGAGAGCGACGCGCACGGCGAATGCGAGCGAAGGCCAATGGTGCACGAGGGGTGGATGTAGGGTGGACAGCGTGCACTTGGGATGGCTGCGATGGCACGGACACACGAGAGGATTGGGGTGTCGCGATGAGCCCGATGAACGAATGCGCGAAGGGTGCGATGGCGGGAGTCATGCGCGAGGCATTGGTCGGGTGGACCAACAATGGCGTTGGGGCGAACGTGCGCGGCAATCGCGCGCATGGCGAGGACGCGCGCGAGGAGATGAGTGATAGTGAGGACGAGGCTGGGAGTGCTAGCGTGCGAAGCACTCGCGCGGTTGGTGACGACGCGCGAACAGAGGCACGCGGCCGAGCAGCGTTGGCAAGGGGCGACGCGTGGGGATGGCGCGCGCGACAAGGACTAGAAATGGCGAGGCGGCGCGCGATCTCGAGCGGCTAGGGTTTGGGCCCACGGCCGACTTGGGGAGCAAGCAAGGGATATGGACGTGATTTACTTAGCTTAGTTAGGAGTCATAGTTTGGTTAGGAATCCAAATAAAAAGCATGTGCCTATTAGTTTCCTATTAGTCTTTTAAATGTTAGGAAAGTCCATATTCCCTAGATGTTTAGTGGCATTAGGAATTATTTACTTGCATAGATTAGGAGTTCTATTTAGACTAGGATTAGATCTATGTGGTATCTATAAATACCCACCTATGTACCATTCGAAATTATGATGGTTGAGTGAATAGAAAAGAGTCGAACATTGTGTTCAAAGTTCTCGTGTGTTTTCTCCTGTGAGTATACATAGAGTTCGTGAATGGAATAGGACCAACATCCGAGTTTCTTCACAGTGATAGAAATAGGACCAACATCCGAGTTTCGTCACACCTATTGCGAAGTACGAAGGCGTCGGCGCGCGTATTAGCAACCTATTGCGAAGGGACCAAGGCGTCGGCGCGGGTTTCGAGCAAGTCGAGCTAGACGTAACACACGATCCTTCATCAT